CAGACATCTTTCAGGAGTCAGTTCTCCCCTTGCACACTGTTTGAGACAGGGTATCTCTTGTTTCCGCTACTGTGCTGTGTCCAGGACAGCTGCTGACCCAGAGCTTCTCGGCAGTTCCCCTGTCTCTGTCGCCCATCACCGGAAGAATGTCGGGGTTACACATGTGCACTACTGCATCAACCTTGTTATATCAAACTCAGGTCTTTAGGTCTGCTCAGCTAGTGTTAGCCCAGGGTAGCCTAGAACTAGCTCAGGGTACCAGGTTTGTATGGCAGGCACGTTTACCCACTGAGTCATCTCACGGGCCTTGTTTACTTATTTTTGAGAAAGGCTCTAGCAAATAGTCCATTCCAGCCGTGAACTCAGATATATCTCCTACCTCAGCCCCTTCAGAGTAAGATTGTAGGGATGCATGAAATTTACATTACATTGTTAGATGAGCTGTATAGGTACAATACTTTGAACAAGAGTAGAAACACATGGACAGTATGTTCTAACCAAAATAATTTTAAATTTGTGTCAATATACAAAGATCCATATCACTGTAAAATATTTAAAACTAGTGGTTGCTTTTTAAAAAATAGATTCAATAATCTACCTTTTTTTTTTCAAGACAGGGTTTCTCTGTGTAATAATCTACCTTTTTATCCTATCATTTCTATGACACATATACAGTATAACAAAAATTTACCCCAAATTTGTATCAATATACAAAACTCCAAGCCAGTGTAAAATATTTAAAACTAGTAGTTGCTTTTTAGAAGTAGATTCGGTAACCTACCTTTTTAGCCTATTTCTGTATCCCCCCCTTTTCTCTTTAGAATGAGATCCCTGAATCTAATCCCCTTTGTTCAGCTTTTTCCTGACCTGTACCATAACAACTTGTAACCAACTCCCCCAAACGATGACAAATATCCACAATCCATTGAACGACCAAAAAAAACTGCCCACCCCTCCTCTTGGGAATGTGGGCTTCGTGTTCTTTAAAATACTTCCTGCTGTCTGGGAGAGAGCATCTTTAGGGGACCCTGAAAAAAGTTAGGATAATTGTCAAGTCCTGGGAGAGCTAGCTGTACCATTTGTTGTCCAGCCTCTGTGTAATGGGAAAATGCAGGGCTTGTCTCAAGTCCTGGCTAGAGTAGTCTGTGAAGCTGGATCATCTCAGCCAGCCACCTTGAAATTGTCCTGAGCAGTTTGTAATCCAAAGCTGATCTTTGGGTGGTGTTTGTATGCTTAGTGTTGTCACCATAGTCCAGGTGGAATCATCGTTATGGGGCCCCATCCTCCTTTTGGAAACTTCAAAGGTTGCTATTAGGCATGGTCATGGTTCATTAGAGAGAACTTAAACATTTTAAATGTCATATGCAGCAGATCTCAAAGAGGTTAAAGGACCATAATTTGTTATAAACATCCAGTGTACAAAAACTTAACTCCTAGTTACTTGATAGAAATTCAACATGAAATCATGTTCAGGAAAGTAGATAAAGCCCTTTTTCTGGAATTAGTACTCTCTATAACCTTTAGGATCATGACAAAAAGTTTTAAAACATCTTATAAATTTTGATACCTTAGGAAAAGCTTTAATAAAATAAAACCAAAGGATCATGAGATTAGTAGCAATAGAATAGTCCCTGAATTTTGGTTTTTCTTCGGTCCCTATCAGGTGGCTCTTCTGACATAAGATAGAGATTTTGAATTTTCCTTTCA